TAATTTTATATATTGAGTCAAAAGCTATCTTTACATAACTCTTCAACTATTTAAATATAAGTTTTAAATTGGTGTCAACAGCACTGAATAAATATTACTGGAGCCTTTAACCATTTTTCATATGATATGGTTTCAGATTTCTCCCACTATCCTGGTAATTCTCTAAGTTCCAGTTTATTATTTATTATATAGCACAAGAGTTAAATACAAGAGGTGATCAGATATGCTGTGAAAGAGTACCACTTCCCTTGTTCTGGATGCTTTTTTTTTTTAATGCTGCCAAATACCACTTTAGTTATTTTTGACAACCACATATCATTGATTGACTTTATGTCACTAAAACCTTAAATTGTCAACAGGTAGTGCTGTTAAATGATGGCTTATCCTTCACATACTTATTGATTAAACCAAACTCTTAAGACATTTTTCCTATAGAACTCTATCTTGTTAGATTTTAGTTTATTGATTCATCTTGTCTAGCTAAAGCTGAATCTTGATTTTCATTCAGTATATTTCTCCTATGTCTTAAATGTTATATATGTCATCATCACCAAAAATAGCCTCATGCTAGTCATGAAGAACACAAATGGAGGAACCCGCCATTAACCAGTGCAATTTAATAGTCTTTCTAACAGGATAGAAAAGAATAATTCCCAAAACAATAACATAGATAGTACATGTTGATGTGAGAAATGTGAACAAGTTCAGTACTAAAAAGACATGTCTAGGTAAAATACCCTAAAAGGAGGTTTGTAGTAGTGCAGGGCAGGGAAGGGGAAGGTAAGTAGAATAGCAGAGATAAAATCTCCTTTATTGTGTGAAAATGAGATGTATCACATTTTTATTTTACTCCCTAATTTCAGTTCTAGGTAAAAATGATCCAGTAATTCAGCAATAGTTTGTTACATGGGGTTTAAAATTTTTCATATAACTACAAATGAAGGCATGAGAATATAAACATCAAAGTCGGAATCCTGAATGTATCAAGTATACAGGATATACGGCTTCAACTGTATTGGATGATTTTATCTCAAGTTGAATGTTGGCCTCACAGAAGTTGTTTATAGTATTTAATTTTTTTCAAAATCTGAAATATTTCATAATTAGAAGAATAAAAATATTTGGGTTTTATTTTCAGCATAGTAATTTATTTCATTTCTTGACTAATTTTTCAAGCCCTTGATAAACTAATTATTCAAGCCCTTGATAATTATTCAAGACTTATATGTAGCTCTCAAGTTCTAAATAATGTTAAGTTTAGCAGATAAGGCAGTTTATCACTGTGTTCTTTCACTCTGATTGCATAAGTATGTGTTGATAAAATAAATACAAGGACTATAGTAAAGAAATAAGCCATTTCATTAACATTGTAAAATGAATAGTTTTAAGATATAAAGTATGAAAGGAATTTTACAGTATATAAATTTTCTGCAGTTATAAATTTTTGACAGTCTTATTTTGAAAACCCCAGAGTGTTTAAATATTCTGCATTTATGTTGACCATATTACCAAGATGCTAAAACATGAATCATTTTCTTCATTTTATAATTTTTATAGTGGGAACAGAGAAGCCAGATGATGTATGAGTTATTGCTGGTGAAAATACAGAGACCCTTGGAAACATCTGTCCCTCCTAGAATTCTCATAAAACCATATGCTTCTATCACAGCACTTAACAGTCATGGGGAGTATGTGGGAACAACAGAGACTTATCCTGTCCCTTCCCTGCCAAAACCACACATAGACCCACACACTTGAAAAATAAGGAAATAAGATCATCTGAGTATGGAGATTCCTCAAAAATTAGATGATCCAGCAATTTCAATTCTGGGTGTATACCCAAAAGAAGTGAAAGCAGGAACTTGGGCAGATACTTGTACATCTATGTTCACAGCAGCATTAATCACAATAGCCAGAAGGTGGAGGCAATCCAGTGCCCATCAAGGGATGAATGGTTAAAAGAAATGTGGCGTATACACACATTGGAATATTATTCAGCCTTAAAAAGGAAGAAAATTCTGATACATATGACATCCTGGATGACTCTTGAAGACATTATGATATGTGAAATAAGCCAGTTACAAAATGGCAAATATTGTATTATCCCACTTTTATGAACTACTTAGAGTAATCAAAGACAAAGTGGAATGTGGTTGCCAAGGCCTGGAGGGCAGAAGTATTGGGAGATTATTGGTTTTGTTTGTTTGTTTGTTTTTGAGATGGAGTCTCCCTCTGTTGCCCAGGCTGGAGTACAGTGGTGCAATCTCAGCTCACTGCAACCTCTGCTGCAGTGGTGCAATCTCAGCTCACTGCAACCTCTGCCTCCTGGGTTCAGGTAATTCTCATGCCTCAGCCTCCCGAGTAGCTGGGACTACAGGCATTCATTACCACACGTGGCTAATTTTTGTATTTTTAGTAGAGATGGCCATCATGTTGGCCAGGTTGGTCTCAAACTCCTGACCTCAGGTAATCCGCCAACCTCAGCCTCCCAAAGTGCTGGGATTACAGGGGTAAGCAACTGTGTCTGGCCAGAAGCTAGGTGGGTACAGAATTTCAGTTTGGATGAAAAAGTTCTGGAGCTAGATGGTAGTGATGATTGTGTAGGAATGTGAATGTACTTAGTTTCTTTTAACTTAAAAATGGTTAAAATGTCTTTATTCTGAGATTGCTAGTAACAGGTAAAAAAAAAATGGTTAAAATGGTAAATTCTGTTATGTAAATTCTACCACAATAAAGTTCAGGAAAGTTAATTTTTGAAATAAGCATAACACTCAGCAAACAAAAACTAAAGTATCTTCCAAAGACCTGATTGACAGTATTACTACTAATGAAAGAATATTCCACATCAAAAGATATTGGTCAGCAAAGAAAATTTAAAAGGAGAAGGGAAAATGGCAGTGTATTTTTAGCACTATCCAACTCAAAGAATGTAAGACACATATGTGACTCAAGTGGATAGGGCCGCAACAGGCTTGAAATATTAGCCATTAAAAGCACCAAACTCATTTCTATTGTTTCCATTCCATATTTACCAAGCAGTCTTCTGATTAGAATTTTGATTTAGCCTCATTGTAATTTGGTCAATACAAGGAAGATAACCAGCAAACTCAACTATCCCTGCTCCCCCATAATTGCATTTCTAATAAGTTAATACATTAGTATTAATGGTTTTCACACAGTATTATATTAGCAGTTTGTGGTGTGTAACTGAGTACTCCCAAGTCCAGTCACTTCCAGACCTGATAAACCAATTTCAAGCCTATAAAAAAAATCAGATATTGAAACTTAAGTAATCACATTGTGGACCTGCCAGACTGCATACATCTGTGGCAAGCTGACGTGGCTTTCCCCAAGCGATACCCCTCTCAGAATGCACTTTCCATACATATTTCCATAATTCTGTATTGCCTTTTGTCTTCTGCCTATAGACTTAGATCCTTGAGAACAGAATGGACCTTATCCATATCGCTAGCAACTACTAAAGTTCCTATCACAAAGAAATGAACCCAATAAAAATGTAATAAATGAAAATAAAACCTAACATAGTAGGACATAATTAGGAAATAAATATTGAAAATAAGATTCTTCTATGTTTTAATACATATTACATATTAAAATTTCCTTGAAGGCTACAAATGGAAAGCTAGACACACAATATCTGAGACAAAATGAGCATATCTAGATTGAGCTGGAACTCTTATGTTGAAATTACATAGGCCATATTTGTTGAGAATGACCATGAGTGGCATTTTAGCCATACGATATCTACATAAAGTACAGACAGGCCTCAGAGAGCATACATGCCTTTTCCCTAATAACCCTCTCCTGTGCTACAATAAAGAACATAGAAAATACATGGGACTTGTATAAGTGCCATGTCACATATATTAGGTCAAAGGAAAGATAAAATTCCTTTCTAATGTGCCCTAGAGTTCTGCTGTTTCACATAAGACAGCATTTGGACTAAACACTGGCCAAAGAGTGCCTAGATGAGGAATCTACCAATGATAGCACACACAATAGGATCTTGCTTGTCTTGACAGCACAGGAGAGTATTGGGATACACCTGCTGAATATAATTGAATTGTAAGAAAAATAATAATTGATGTGATAGGTTTTTATGTTCAAACTGGATTCCAGTGTATAACAGAAATAACCTCTAGCTTGCCATATGTAATCAAACAATATAATTTTTCTTAAACTTTAGGTTTTAAATTTTTTTTTCCTTTTTTAGACCAACAATTCACCCTAGAGAAAATGTGAGTTATTTTAGCTTCTAGCAGTTAAGAAAACAGACTCCAGTGCCAGATGGCCTGACTTCTAATCCTAGCTCACTATTCCTAGTTGTGTGACCTCCAAAGCACCCAAACTCGCTGGCCCAGTTGCTTGTAAAATGAGGACAATAACTACGTCATGGGATGGTGAAAAAATTAATCTACAACAGTGCCTGGTACACAGTGCCCCTTTATTATTATTGTTATTGTTACACATAATTGAAATTTTTGAAAAACATAAGCTCCACTAAAAAACCTCAACCATATTCTGGTAATTATTTACTTACTTCTTCTGTATCTACCTCTAGACTCTACTCTGTGACTTCCCAACATGTTATGGGATTTACTCATCTTTTATACCCAGAGCTTCACAACGCGCAAAGTACAGGTATATATGCCAGCCCTGTACAACAGTGCATTCTAAGATCCTTGCTTACTGAACTCTTAAATACCAGCAGGGGAGAAGAAAGACTCTTGGAATAAATCTGTTCAAACAATGGTAACAAGTTCACAAACGAATAAAAGAAAAAAAAGCAGGTGCAAGACTGAAAACATACCATGCTGAATTTCGTGTACATAGTAAGAACAATATGAAAATAGGATTTTTTAAGGTAACAGAATATTTACCACCGACTTTAAAAAAAAAAATTATAAAAATAAGCCAGCCCCTTTCTTCGAAGTTAACTGGGAGTAACGATTTACACTGTCCGACCAGAAACACTTCCGTTCTTTCGGACACCACCCCCCCCGCCAACCCTTGCCCCGCTAGGCGGCGCCGCTAGTTTCCATCCTATTTCTCTTATGAAAGTATCAGGTACCCCACCCCTATCTTTAGATTTGGTGATAGTTCCCTTAAAAATGGAATGAACAATCTACCCCATCCTTTTCTCACAATATCAACTAAATTCCAGCAAAAGGCAAAAAAAAAAAAAAAAATCTTTTTATTGTAGCTTAGTGTTTGCAACTTGATGTGTAGTCAGACAAACCTGTAATCTGTCTCCGCTGATCAGTCACTAGCTGTGTCATTCTATGGAACTCCCATCACCTGCAAATCTGAAGAAAAATGCATGCGAGCACACAGGACGTTTTGGGCAAAGACGGCCTTTAAGCTTTTGTTTTTACTAAGAATGCCGCTCTCTAGTGAAACACCAGCCAGTTCTGGAAGGGACCCGGCACGGTGTTGATGACATCACTTCCGAGCGACAGGTTCGGGCTTTCTCCTGCAGCAATACGGGCAGTCGACAGTCTTTACTAGGGAAAGGAGACAAGTGCTAGCACCTGCTCCCCAAGAGGAAGGTGGGTGAAATTGCTCACTCTTCACCGCAATGATGGTGTGCACCTGGAAACGCGGTTCCAGTTCGCGCCCTTCGCTGCTTTATAGCAGACCAGAGAACAGCGCTACCCAAGTCACGTGGGTTCACCCTGCAGCTTTCTTGGCCCCAAAGCGTAGTGCTTCGCACGGTCCTCCTTGTCCAGATTTTGTTAATGGAAATCTAATTCCTCTAGGGTGTCCTGTCTGTCTGGGCTGCACTGCCCGCAACTGTCTGCAAGTAGGTCGCTCACCTCGAATCCCTGGGATACTCTGTATCCCTTTAGTGTGGTGGAGAAACGACCAGCTTTAACACCCGGAAAGTTTTAGAACGGATGATTTGGGGGCATAAAATTAGGTACTGTACTTCGCAGTGTGAAAATACTACTGTGCTTTAGTGATGGGCTATTAGTTTTGGGGAAAAGGATTTGGGAAGATGCTTGTTATGATAAAACCTGTAGCAAAAAGTGGAGTTTTAATTCCAAAGATTATAATTAAAGATAAAATAGGTATTAGGTTGCAGTCATTTTAGTCGAAATATTTCTTTGAAGAAGAGCTTCATGAGAACATTATTGTTTATAACCCAGAGACTAAATCTGATATGTGTGTGTTTATGTTAACTCTTGTTTTTGAACCAAATGATCAAGTTTTATTTTAAAAGGTATTTTTAGGAAACAGAATACATTAACAGTATTTTTATCTGCTCCATCTGCCTTTGTTGTTTGATTCTTTTTAGAAAATCCACATTTTGTCTTAATTTTAGCTGTCAAAAATAAATAGCACTTTTCAGAGGACTCTATCAATTATTGTACTGTAATGTTAGCTGTCTTAATAATAAGTCCTTTGGAATGAACAGCATGCAAGTAATGAAAAAATTTTATATCTGACCCGTTTTCCCTCTTGAGGAACATTATATCCACTCATAATGTTATTTATATTCACATGTTGCTATATAGCCTTTACAAAATTTTGGTGATTTTTACAGACTTTCCTGTAATTCTGTAAAACTATATATTGAAAGATTAGCAGGCCAATGTCAACTGCAAATAAGAAGTTGTTTTGTTTCTGTAATTCTTTTTCAGGAATTATCTATAGAGTAAGTATGCTAACCTTGAATAAGACAGCAGGAGTTTTTAAACCATCAAAAAGGAAAGTTTATGAATTTTTAAGAAGTTTTAATTTTCATCCTGGAACACTATTTCTTCATAAAATAGTATTGGGAATTGAAACCAGTTGTGATGATACAGCAGCTGCTGTGGTGGATGAAACTGGAAATGTGTTGGGAGAAGCAATACATTCCCAAACTGAAGTTCATTTAAAGTAAGTAGACATTATCTTAGTCATTTCCACTTTTTTTGGAAAAAGTAAAATGAAATCATTTTTTTCTATTTGTCATATATAAAAGTTTTCAGGAGCTACTGTCTTATTTCTTTTTGCAAACACTTTAAACAACTGCTATAGAAAACCTCAGACACCTCATCCTGGCTTTTAAGAGTCTTCAGAGTGAGGTCCCAACCTTAAGTAATCCTGTTGCCAAAATAAACTAAGCTCATTCTCAACTTCAGTATTTATCGATGATTTTCCTTCAGTAATGCATTCCTTCTTTTCTCCACTTCTGTGTTTCATGGTCTCATCTGAAGTCCTAGGAAAACTGAGTTAATCACTGGAAAAAAAAAACCCTATTCATATTTATACATATACATTGTGTTAGTACTTAAGTAAATTATAATAAGCATAGAATGGTGCAAGGATTATAAACTGAGATGTTTGTAGAGGACCACCAGGAAGGATACCCAAATAAATGGACAAGATATAAAGAGGAAAATGTCTGGAGGAGGTCACTACTCAGCTCTAGCCAATTGCCATGCAGGAATGCAGGACTTGTGTTATTAGAGTATCGTAATTTTTAAGAAAAAATGGAAATCCAAATTTTTAATGTCATATTTTGAGATTTTTTAAATTAGTAGCTAATTCAAAATATATTAAAATATTCTACAGATGAGTATGTCTTTAAGCCATCAATTTACAACATCTGAATCGTGAAAAAGCCTGGTATTTTGAAATCATAGGCCTGTATTTGAATCCTCAATTAAGCACTTAGTAGTGGCTCTGTAACTGTAGGCAAGTTCCGTATCCTCTCTGATTCTGTTTTCACATCAGTAAAATATGAAAATTAACATCTGCCTCATAGAATTAGGGGAGGGTGGCATTAGAAATAATATATGTGAAGAGGCAGATTAAGCCTCAAACAATATGCGGGAGGGACTGTGCTGGATATTAATAAGGCACCATGAAGTACTGGAAAGTCCTTGGCTTCAGGAAGCTTAACTTGATCATAGAAACATGATGTGTAGACCTACAAGGAGAATTAATAGTAAAAGGCAGCATAAGGTAAATATCAAACAAGCGGTGCAAACAGTAACTATTACTACCATGTCTCAGCTTCATAGTCCTTTCAGTTTCTCTCAAGTGCACTGAACTTTTGAACATGTAAATGTTAATGGCATAGAAAGGACTACCCTGACCACTTTATCTAAATTCGATTCTGTGTCACCATACTCTACATATATACTTTGTAATACTTTTACAATTTATACATTTGCTCATTTATGTATAATCTCTCTCAGTAGAGTCTAAGTGCCATGGTGACAGAAGCCATGTCCGTATTAATCACTATGCTATACCTAGTGCCCAACATAATGTTTGACACGTCACAGGTGTTCAGTGGCCTTTTGTTAGGCCTTCAGTAAATGGAGATGGAAAGAATATTATAAGCTGGCTGTGTTAGTTCATTCTTGCACTGCTCTAAAGAAATATCTGAGACTGGGTAATTTGTAAAGAAAAGAGGTTTTATTGGTTCATGGTTCCACAGGCTGTGCAGGAAGCATGGCAGCATCTGCTTCTGGGAGGCCCCAGAGAGCCTTTACTTATGGCGGAAGGCAAAGTGGGAGTAGGCATCTTACATGGCAGGAGCAGGACAGAGAGAGGGGTGAGGTGCTACACACTTTTAAACAACAAGATCTCATGAGAACTCATTCACTATCACAACACAGTACCAAGGGGAAAGTCTGCCCCCATGATCTAGTCATTTCCCACCAGGCCCCATCTCCAACACTGGGCATTACCATTCAACATGAGATTTGGGCAGGGACGCAGATCCAAACCGTATCACTGAGTGAGCATTGTCAGCAAAGGCAAAGAAGTGAGAAAGTGCTGGACATTCAATTCAGCTAAAGCATAGGTCACTTGAGGAGACAAATAGGCTTCAGCGATACCATCCACCTAGCCCATTTCAGCATGTTTTGAATACCTATAGTTGCCAGGCAATACTTGGGGCATTTGGGGTACAAATATGAATGACACACATGACCCTTGCCTTTGAACTGCTCACCATATAAGTGGGTTAGAGTGTAGGCTTATATAGACTCTTGGCTATATAGCTTCAACCTCAATGATTTCTCTGCCTCTTTATTAGCTTTGTTCCCTAATCCACACTCCATACTGTCTACAAATCATAGCAAGACAAAAATACATTGTTACTATTCTTTGAGAATAAAGCCATGTTCTTATTTGGCCCTAGTGTTTAGCATAATCCCTGGATGATAAAATGCACAGAAAAGGCACAGAAAGGAAAGGAGGGAGGCAAGACAGAGAGGGAAGAAATGAGTGACAGGGAGAGAATTTGGATTTGATGTCTCCCAAATTCCACAAAACTAAAGGTTTTGAGTAGGGGAATAACGAGTGGAACTGTGCTGTAGAGTATTCTCTGGCAACAATATAGGATGGCCTCTAAGAATCAAAGGACATAGTTAGGAAAGTGCAATTAGAGGACTGCTGAATAGACTGAGATGAGGGCTTTTGAGGCTTGGCAGTGGGAGTGGTGATAAACTTAAATGTGGAGAACAGAACGAGGAAGAGAAAGGAGGTAAAGATGAACTTTGAAACCCGAGGGTTATTTGATGCTGCTAATAGAGATGAGAGAGATAAGAGAAAAAGTAGCTTTGAAAAATAAAGGGAAATCGTATTACAGTGTAGATGTGCTGAAATCAGATCATTTCATTCATATCCCCCTCACTTCCTGAAACAATATTTTAATTATTCAGCAAATATTCATTAAATGCACTTACTGAGAAGTTTCATTTCTACATATAGAACTAGTAGGTTTTGCAACATCAAATATTTGAAGATTTTTTTTTTGAGACTAGCAGTGCATTTGGCAGACTCTATATTTTATTGCTCTGCTTCTCATATTGTAACTCAGTCACATAGCAAATCTGTTGCTAGAAAATTTGCCTCAGTTCTTTACACTTGACGTTTGGAGTGGCCATCCATTGTCCTACATGGACTAAAAATCCAAATTACCAGTTCTGAACACCAGATTCCCAAACTGTATTTCAGGATTGCAAGCTATCTGTCTCCTGCTGTGACCTCAAGTGGAATGTGTTTTAAAATTAGCTCATCTTTATAAAACTGTCTTCATGTTTCTCTGTTAGAATTTCTTTTCTCCCAGTCATTCCAGCTGAATAGCTGAACAAACTTTGATGCCTTAGTCCCCCTGATCCTTATATTCAATTAGTTATTACAGTTCTCAAGGTTCTCTGTCCCTTTCTTTCCACTCCCGCAATCACTCAGTTTAAGATATAATCACTTTACACAAATACTTTTGCAGTAATCTCTCTTAAAATCTCCTGTCAGCAAGAAGATTAATTTTCCTTAAATACAGTTTTTTTCCTGTCCTTCCCATGCTCAAAACTTGTGTGGAATGCTTTGCAAGATTGTTTTGGTGATTTCATTAAACAACAAATAAATCCGTGGGAGTTTGCTGTGAATAAGTTGAAAAAGTCAGAAACATTATCTCCTTGATTACTGCATACCGAGTTCTAACCACAGTGTGCTACATTAGAAGGTACACATTAGAAAATACTTGATTTACTCAGCTATATAATGATTAACTTGAGGACATGCCTTTCGTTATAATATATTTTCATTTTTCTTCATTTTTACATTCTTAAAACTACAAAAAGCTGTCTTTGTTTCTTTCAGAACAGGTGGAATTATTCCTCCAGTAGCTCAACAGCTTCACAGAGAAAATATTCAACGAATAGTACAGGAAGCTCTTTCTGCCAGTAGCATCTCTCCAAGTGACCTCTCAGCAATTGCAACTACCATAAAACCAGGACTTGCTTTAAGCCTGGGAGTGGGCTTATCATTTAGCTTACAGCTGGTAGGACAGTTAAAAAAGCCATTCATTCCCATTCATCATATGGAGGCTCATGCACTTACTATTAGATTGACCAATAAAGTAGAATTTCCTTTTTTAGTTCTTTTGATTTCCGGAGGTCACTGTCTGTTGGCACTAGTTCAAGGAGTTTCGGATTTTCTGCTTCTTGGAAAGTCTTTGGACATAGCACCAGGTGACATGCTTGACAAGGTAATTATTTAAGAATTAATTTCTCCATTCTTTTTTGTTATGTTGTACATTTCAACTAAGTAGCAACAGATGTGCTACCACCATTCATCTAAATATTTCTGAATGATATCTTAGTAAACTGAAAAAAATTCACATATGGTAAGAAAAAATAAAAAGTAGTACACAACTTTAGAATTCTTTCTTAGCCCTTCCTAATAAAATGGTAAGAGGTTAGTATCTATACATAAAGGCTGAAATAGTTGGCAGATACAGTTATATATTTTGTCAAATAATATATGTGAAGAAAAGGGCTTTGTAAACTAACATACTGCAAAAAGGTAAAATAAGAGAATGTCTAAAGATTAACATAAGGACACAGAGTTCTATAATTAAATCACATAATTGCTGACACCAGAGACAGATAGGGTTTTTTTTCACCCTTTGTTTTAGAATACTGCAGAGGCTACTGCCATATATATGGGGCCAAAACAAAACAAAACACTGCTTCCCACAGTGAACTGATAGGAAGAAAGTACAGGGCAAGTTCTTATTGCTGATGTTCGTCATTAAGCAGTCATTGTCAACTTCAAGCCTATTTTCCAACCCCAACAGAAGAGCAAAAATAGACAGGGGCAGTGATTGGCCTCTGTTGTTCAGGTCATCATAAGGAACAGAGTTGTCTGCTTACCTGAATATCAGCTACAGTCTATATTTCTCAAAGTATAGCATGTTTTATTCATTTGGTGGTGGGTGGGGGTTGTTAGCAGTTTTCAATTTATTTACTTTGCATCTTTTGGTTTCAAAGTATTTAATTTTATGACTCATTAAAAAAATATTTTTTTGATAGGTGGCAAGAAGACTTTCTTTAATAAAACATCCAGAGTGCTCCACCATGAGTGGTGGGAAAGCCATAGAACATTTGGCCAAACAAGGAAACAGATTTCATTTTGACATCACACCTCCCTTGCAACGTGCTAAAAATTGTGATTTTTCTTTTACTGGACTTCAACACCTTATTAATAAAATAATAATACAAAAGGAAAAAGAGGAAGGTATATTCCTAATTAATAAAGTTGAACAGATAAATATTCCTGGATTGTTTCTAAAAATACCTGCTCATTTCTGCAGGTATTGAGCAGGGACAAATCCTGTCTTCAGCTGCAGACATTGCTGCCACAGTACAGCACACAACAGCATGTCATATTGTGAAAAGAACACATCGGGCTATTCTGTTTTGTAAGCAGAGAGACTTGTTACCTCAAAATAATGCAGTACTGGTAAGTTTTATCTCATTTTATAGTAATAGTTACACTTTGCAATATGTTGCTTTTTTCCCAAGACCTTGACCTTGTGTTTAGATGAACAGATCTTTATACGCTATGCTAGCCCTGACAGTATGAAATTATGCAGGATAGGAAGGACTAACGCTATTTCTTGTACTAGTATGACAGCTTCACAAGACATCTATATAGCTTCTATAGCACAAAAGTCCAAAATCGCATCTTCTTCTTGGATTTAAAAGAGGGTTTACAATAAAGAAAGCAAATGCAGTAACTGCTCATTATTTTTAGAAAAATAGGCAGATTTCCTTCATCCTTTAATGAAATCCCTTTTTGTTTTTAAATAAGCCAGTCAAATTTAGCAGTGGGAGGTGGTACAAAAACTTTCATGAAACACTAATGTTAATAAGTTCTGATAACCCACTACCATTGTACCAGCCGAAATCCTTTTAATTGTGCTTAAAAACCTTGATAAACATCCTGTTTAACTGTATCTGAAACTTTATTCTTTTAAAAATTATAAACTAAAGTGGGAAAATGTTTAAATGGTGGTAATTCATAGATGGAATTTTACAGGGATATCAAAGAATAATTTTTTAAGAGTTATGTAGTAAGATGCACAAAATAAAAAATTCAAGGTCTAACATAGTAGTTTACTATGATTGTAATTATATTAAATATTGAGACGAAAGGTGTGAAGAAAATATACAAAAATGCTAGTGTTTCTATGCTATTAGAATTATTAGTGATTTTTTTCTTTCTAAATTTTTATTATATAGATATATAACTTGCCCATTACCCATCTCAAAATGAGATAGTTTATTATTATATAATGTTGATATTTTCCCCCCAGGTTTAATTAACAGCTTGATTCATATCCATGTATGATAGTTTTTGGTTTTCTCAATTCCTTCAGGTTGCATCTGGAGGTGTTGCAAGTAACTTCTATATCCGCAGAGCTCTGGAAATTTTAACAAACGCAACACAGTGCACTTTGATGTGTCCTCCTCCCAGACTGTGCACTGATAATGGCATTATGATTGCATGGTAGGCCACAAGATATATGTGCTTCACTCATAATCATGTAAATATTAATTGCCGTTTTATCATACTAAACCTTCCTTCAGATCTTGGAGCTATTGATTTTATTTTAATGATTCTTATTTAGGAACGGTATTGAAAGATTACATGCTGGCGTGGGCATCTTACATGACATAGAAGACATCCGCTATGAACCAAAGTATGTGGTACCATTCATGTTCTTTATGCAAGTTACATTACTTAAGTCAAAGCCTGAATTCTGCTTTTATATATGAGGTTTTCATTGACACTCTTGTGGTACTTGAAGGAAAGTGACATAAATGTCTTTCATAAACCTAGTTGAGGTTGATACTGTATAAGAAATATTTTTGCTACAGTATTAAATTATAAAAATCTTGACCAGTTTAGGTGAATTAGAAACAAGCCATGAGTAAGAGTGATGAATTCCCTCCTGTGGAACCAGAGTGGAAACCATGTTCATGGCCTGGACTTTTGCAATGTCAAGAACATCTCAAAACCAGCTAACATGCTGGGAAATTTAAGGAAAACCTGCAGAAAGCATTCAGGTGTGAAAATGGGTTGGGATTATGCTCTTACACAGGCAGCTGAGAATTGGCCAAAAGATAGCTATTTCCTGCAAGCCTTATTTCCTCTCCCAAATCAAAATTCCAACAAATAGCACAGTTTTTTCTTTTACTATTTTTTTTTTGGTGAGACAGAATCTTACTGTGTCACCCAGGCTAGAGTGCAGTGGCCCATTCTCAGCTCACTGCAACCTCTGCTTCCTGAGTTCAAGTGATTGTCATGTCTCAGCCTCTTGAGTAGCTGGGATTACAAGTGCACACTGCCATGTCCAGCTAATTTTGTGTATTTTTAGTTTTTGGGCTTTGCCACATTGTCCAGGCTGGTCTCGAACACCAGACCTCAAGTAATCTACCCACCTTGGCCTCCTAAAGTGTTAGGATGACAGGTGTGAGCCACCATGCCTAGCTGGTTTTTCAATTTACTATATAATTCTGTTATAAGTTAATTCTGGAATAGTAAAAGACAATTATTTTCATAATCTAACATAATTATATTTTAAACATCTTTTCATCTGATGTTTTAAAACTTGACAGCATTGGCCAGGCACAGTGGCTTATGCCTGTAATCCCAGCACTTTGGGAGGCTGAGGTGGGCAGATCACCTAAGGTCAGGGTTTCAAGATCAGCTGGCCAACATGGTGAAACCCTGACTCTACTGAAAATACAAAAAATTAGCTAGGTGTCATGGCGGGCGCCTATAATCTCAGCTACTCAGGAGGCTGAGGCAGGAGAATTGCTTGAACCCACAAGGTCGAGGTTGTAAGCCGAGATCATGCCACCGCACTCCAGCCTGGGTGACAGAACGAGACTCCATCTCACAAAAACCAAAAACAAACAAAAAAATTTGTCAACGTTATATTCCATAACTAGATAGTTGTGCTATAGAGAAGAACCTATAGAAACCTGGGACATTTCTAAAATGTGAATGAATGCAGGTTTGACTTTAGCTGTGTGGTAAAAATGTTTTGCCTTTTTAGTTTTGTAGAGATTTATATTTTCCTTATTTTATATTTTACGTTTTAACTTATTTATGTACAGTATTTGAGAACAAGAAAACAGATGTTCTCAAAAAAAGTCTCAAAATTTAGATTTCTTATTAATGAGGCTAGCTTTCATTATCCTGACTTGAGGGCCCACTATATTTGTATGCATTTAAGAATCATCACCACATATAATGAATTATACATTAGATACTTATACTGTCAGATTTCTAAGCAAATAGTCTGTAGAATTAGTGATGGATCATGAAGCAAATAAATAATGTGATTTGTCTGGTTCTGATGTAGATGTCCTCTTGGGGTAGACATATCAAAAGAAGTTGAAGAAGCTGCCATAAAAGTACCGCGATTAAAAATGAACCTATGATTTTTGCTGTTCAAAAAAATCCCTACAGGTAGTATTAATGTTAAAATTAAGTTTTTATTGTTTTGTGTATCAAATTGTAGAAGAAATATAATATTAATTATTCATCAAGACTTTCTTTTGTTATTTCTTTTTCTTACGTTTGATATTTTACCTGCTCTTCTAAGATACTGTAATGTTAAAGTCTTACAAGGGAATATAGTTTTTTTTAAATCATTAAAAACCAAAATAAAACATCTTTTGAGAAAGGAATGTATTGATGTTGGCAGGTAGAAAGAAAAACTTTGAAAGAAGTACAGTAATTTTGCTGAATCCTGGCCCTGTATCATACGGGCCTAGGACCTTCCCCCACTTCCTCAAATCAGGATAGGAGAAGCTGTTTCTTGATTTCTATTGAAACATGAACTTGACTTTATAATGAGAAAGTAATTTTATTTTGTTTTTTTTGTTGTTGTTGTTTGTTTGTTTTTTTGAGACAGAGTCTCCCTCTGTCACCCAGGCTGGAGTTCAGTGGTGTGATCTTGGCTTACTGCAACCTCTGCCTTCTGGGTTCAAGCAATTCTCCTGCCTCAGCCTCCCAAGTAGCTGGGACTACAGGTGACCACCACCATGCCCAGCTAATTTTTTGTATTTTCAGTAGAGACGAGATTTCATCATTTTGCCTAGGATGGTCTTGAACTTCTGAGCTCAGGCAATGTGCCTGCCTCAGCCTCCCAAAGTGCTGGGATTACAGGTGTGCGTGAGAGAGCAATTTTAGATCAATGTTATACAAAGCAGACATTTCCAAATCAAGACAAAAGCTGACTTTCTCTAACATAATATGTTATTAATTTTAAGAGTTTGCTATGGGCCGGGCGTAGTGGCTCATGTCTATAATCCCAGAACTTTGGGAGGCTGAGGTGGGCATGAGGTCAGTAGTTGGAGACCAGCCTGGCAAATGTGGTGAAACCCCATCTCTTTAAAATACAAAAATTAGCCAGGCATGGTGGCGTTCACCCGTAATCCCAGCTACTTGGGAGGCTAAGGCAGAAGAATTGCCTTAACCCAGGAGGTAGAGGTTGCAGTGAGCCAAAATTGTGCCACTGCACTCTAGCCTGAGTGGCAGAGAGAGACTCTGTCTCAAAAAGAAAAAAAAAAAGAGTTTGTTATTAGGTATGCTCTCTGGAGTAAATAGGATATCTGTGCATTTTTTTTAAAATCCGTATAATTTGAGGTTTTACAATTTTAACATGTAAGTAATCCCTGAAGTATGTATTGTACACTTTAGTTGTCCATATACTTTCACATCAGTTATTTGAGAAATTGTATATAATCAGATAGAAATAAATGTGGGAGTTTTTTTGGTTAATTTTTTTTGAATCCAGACTTTGTACTGCAAATTTCATAAGCTTATCACTGTTTTTCTGCCTTGATTATAGTAACTAAATGTACTATTCGTTGAATATAACCCTCTATATCTGGAGGACTTTCTCATACATAATTTTTTTTTTAATTTTTATAGACGGCGTCTTGCTATGTTGCCCAGGCTGGACTAAAACTCTAGGCCTCATGTAATCCTCCAACTTCAGCCTCCAAGGGCCAACTTCTCACACATCATTTTTAAAAAGTAAAAAACGTAGAGTAATAAAAATAATCTTTATGGGGGGCATTGTACTTTAGGAGAAATAGTACACATTTTAGGAGTGGTAAGATGGTCTGGCTAGGCCAAGATACTCAGGAAATAACTGGAATTGAATGCAGAGAAACTCTGATAACCTGATAATAGTTCTAAAATACAGTCTTGAGCACACCTGAAACCAGTTTCAGAGCTCAAAAGTTGCCCTCTAAAGGCTTTTAAAAATATCTACAGAAGCTTACTATATCCATTCTTATGAATTCTTATCCTTAATTGTGCTGGATAATAGAATTTATCTTTTGAATATGTATTGATTTCTAGTATAAAATATACAATTTCCCTCCACATTTCCTGTATTTTGGTCAATCCACCAGAAAGTTGTGACTCAGCACTATTAAGATAATTTAGAATTAAATACAAAGATTAAAGAGGTCTCTTATTTTTCAGTGGTTAAGAACACAAGCTTTGGGCCAAGCATGGTAGCTCATACCTGTCATCCTAGTGCTTTGGGAGGCCAATGGAGGAGGATCACTTGAGGCCAGGAATTTGAGACCTGTCTGGGCAACATAGCAGAGATCTCAGCCTCCTAAGTAGCTAGGACTACTGGCCTCTACCACCACACTCAGGAAAACAGAGACCAATGACCTGTAGCCCTAGCTACTCAGGAGGCTGAGGTGAGATGATTGCTTTGAACCCAGGAGTTTAAGGCTGCAGTTAGCTGTGATTGCACCATTGCCCTCCAGCCTGGATAACAGAGCAAGACCCTATCTCAAACAAATAAATAAATAATCATTCATTCACTCACTCACTGGCTCTGGCCTCTGGCACATAAAAGCCCTAAGTACATATCAGGGAAAATAACTGCTAATTAATATATCTTACAGTGCTAACTGCAGCCCAGGTAGAGAATGGATTATAGCAAGACCCTCAGACTGTATGGAGGCAATTGAGCAAGTGGATGGAGAAAAGGGGAGCTTTAAAGTACACAGTGAAGCCGAGCACAGTGGCTCACACCTGTAATCTCAGCACTTTGACAGGCCAAGGCGGGTGGATCACCTCAGGTCAGGAGTTCAAGACCAGCCTGGCCAACATGGTGAAACCTCATCTCTACTACAAATACAAAAATTAGCTAGGCGTGGTGGTGGGCACCTGTAATCCCAGCTACTCAAGAGGCTGGGACAGAATTGCCTGAACCCAGGAAGCAGAGATCCTACTTATCTTTACAGAAATCCTACTTATTTTTTGAAACCATAACTCTGACCTGATACTAAATTCCAAAGACATGCTAAGGAAAATCTGCTTGATATCAAGATCAAGAACTTCCATTCAAAAAGATTATTCAGCTGTATTATTGCATATTACCATAATTAAAAATTAAAATTTTTTTAAAAGATGGCTCAGGAATCCTTTCATACTAAAGTGCTTTTATTAGCCTTCTGCAGGCTCTGGGTTGGCTTTCTGGACATGTTTCCCAAGTTGGTTCAAACACACTATTCTTGGTCTTGATACATTTGTGATATCTGATGTAATTGTAGATGAAAAAGAAAAAATATTATGGGAATCCTTGGTCTTTTTTGTTGCTTTGAAGAGTCCCACGAAGTTAGTTACAGGAGGTAATAAAGTCAAAGAATCTTTTGGTTGAATTTTAGGTTTTAATTTTCTTCGGTGCTCTTTCCCTAAAAATTAGAGAGCCCCAATTAATTGTCTCTCCTGAGAGCCCTGGGTGTAGTCTTATTACTTCTAGTTCTATGTAGTTCTTTTTTCTTTACATAACTAAAACATACTAAGAGAACCGATCAGTGCTTCCAAACTTTTAGATGTCAGAGGCCTAAAATTTGTAGGACTGCTATATGGTTTGCTAGCTTGTTATTATGTCAAGTTAGCACCAATAAAAGAACAAATACTACTTTAAACATCATTATATAAAATAAAGGATATTTTAGTACCAAAAGAAAATATAAAAGACATTATCTCAAAATGATGGACTTGACATTGAATGAAATGAATATCATCAGAAACTTGCTACCTTGTCCTTATTTTTTCTTATGTTACCACAAACCTGTGAAAACTTCAGATCATGACTGATAAACAGGTTGTTGTTTAGAAACCAGTGTTAAAGTGAAGAAAGAATGAGACTGACTTTATTCTTGTGTGTAAATTACTCTTACATTAAAGAAGCTATATAAAAAAATGGATATTCTATATATATTTCTATATTTATTTCTATATTGATATTCTATATATATTTCTATATAGCCTCCTCACATACCTAGCTTCCCTCATATACTTGCTGAATACGTGAAGCTGTTTCCTCTCCTTTTACTGTCTTTTTAAATTCTCTCTCTAGCAAACTGATCTTGCCTTCTGAATGTTTCTATCCCTGATTTTCATGATAGGACAACATTCCAAATAAGGACTGGTTTTGGTCCTACATGAACAAGCACTAAGAATATACATGAAATTGACAAGTAATTTCTATTCCCTGGAAGGGATAAATAATATGAGATCTAGACCCTGATCTCTGCAAATCTAGTCCATTCAAGTATAATGTACCAACTCAAAACTATATAATAGAGTATCAATGAAAAAAAAAGTCTCAGCCCTAAGAATTCAGATAAGTAAGTTGTACATGAAACAGTAATAGCAAGATCATAATTTAAGTCATACTTACAGGTTGTTTAAATGGATTTATTTCTAAGCATGGTTTGAGAAAAGCAAAATAAGACAGGGATCACTTTCAAGTGATACTAGTAGGGAAGGCCTTAAAGAAAATGATTATCATGGGCTTGTAAATAAGAAGATACTTTAGGTAGATGGAATTACAAAAGAAAAGTATGTAGGTAAACTTTTTCGGTGTGGGGGGAAGCCTCTACTCTTTTTTTTTTTTTTTTTTTTTGAGATTGAATCTCACTCTGTCACCCAGCACCCAGGCTGGAGTACAGTGGTGCGATCTCGGCTCACTGCAGCCTCTGCCTCCCAGGTTCAGGCAATTCTCCTGCCTCAGCCTCCCAAGTAGCTGGGATCACAGGCATGCGCCACTGTGCCCGGCTACTTTTTGGTTTTTTTGTTTTGTTTTGTTTTGTTTTTAGTAAAGATGGGGTTTCACCATATTGGCCAGGCTGATCTTGAACTCCTGACCTCAAGTGATCTGCCCACCTAGGCCTCCCAAAGTGCTGGGATTATAGGCATGAGCCACTGTACCCGGCCTACATTTTGAATAATTTTTAGAGATGGAATACAGAATCATAAAGTATCTGGGGCAGGAGGTGCTTTATAGATAAAAGAAAAATCGATTACCTTTTTTAAAGACAGGAATTATGGATGGTCCTCCATTCTTCTCCAGACTAAAAGAAAAACATTTTTATCATTATTAAAATAAATGAAGACATAATGCACCCAGAAAAAAATACATGAAGAAATAACAGTACCAGGTTTAATGCCTAATGGCCTAATTCATACATGTTACCTCCACTAACTGCATGTTACCTGTATGTATTTTATATTCAGTCACTCATTTACTCACTTACTTACTCTAAGCATTTGGAATATTAAATCTGCTTGAAGTGATCAGGGGAAGTGTTATGGAAGAAGAGACATTTCAGCTGGGTTTTGAAGAAGATAGGTCTGAGAAAGAGGTATATTTTTCTACTTCCCACAAACTCATCATATGGGCTAGCCGTGGGAGTGACTGTGTAAAATGCTACTTACATTATTTATCATAATTCTTTGAACCAATGAAAATTATTTAGCATTATCAATTATAACAGTTATAATTTAGGTTCCCTGGCTTATCATAAAATTAGGTCACCCGTTTTAGACTTTCAGTTTTTCAAAGAATTAAAGTAGCTCCAAAGCTGTACTCATCATTCTCTGTACTTAAAATTGATAGAGAATATGTTTGTACATGGCTATCTACAATCATAGTTAACCATGATGCTCTATTGGGTCCTATTCTCTTCCATTATCATAGAGTTTATCATATATTTTGAGCAGTTCTGTTTCCTATGTATGAATATCACTACTTGCAGAGAAAACTTGTAATTCAGCTGCATTTACAGAACAGATAATATACCCATAGTAAAGAGATTCTCCTCTCTTCCTTTTTGGGGGGGCCTTAAGTTTGTGATGAAACCACAACAGTGAGTTGAAATCCTCTGAATAAGTTCCTGGAAAACTTCACCATAACTTTAACCACTAAGTCTAATTTAGCCCTGTTTCTACCCTGGGAATTTGGCCTAGTCTAGAAGACCCATTTGATGCTAAGGTCGGAGTGATGGTCTTGTCTCAGAACTGTCAAATGTAACCCTAGTCTACTAAAAAGTGACTTTTTGAATCAGATGTGGTGGTGACCAGTCTCCCAAAAACTCTCTAAAATGTGAATAATCCTGGCCAGAGAAGATCTTCAAAATCTAGGTGTATTCTTGTCTGCACCCACAACTCTGGTGCTAAGTTGGAATTAAAACAGGTTTTGACAATGACCATTTAGAATGAAGTTTATCCTCTGCTATATAGGAGATATATTCATTTCAAGAATAGTTCCTCTTGTTTGACCTTACTAAACCTCCTTAAAGTTTCCTCTATCAATAATTTCACTACTGCGACTTCTAATATAGGACTATACCTTAAGGAAGGAAGTCCCACCAGTGTTTGTTGCAATTGAAATTCCTTTAAAAATGCTGGATTAATACTTGCATCTCTGCTGATATTATTTTTTATACGAATGAACTGATTAGGTTTATTCCTGCATTCCTTTAATAGGATGCGGAAAGCATTTGCATTGTATGTTAAGTAGCCAAGAGCACAGGAACAAGCTGCACGAACCTAAATGAAGAAACAGTTCTTTCTTAACCAATGGGCTTTGTTCTTAAAATATCTTAGTGATCTAATTAGCTACTTCATAGGAAAGTCTCTGTAAGGGAGGGAACAAGTGTAAGCAAATATGTATGCAAACAAATGGCAATGTATAGATGGAAGCTTAACAGCCATATTTTTACAGAGAGCTGTCAACTGCCATTGATTTCTATGAGTTGTTCTCAATCTTAACTACATTTTAGAACCTTTCGGAATGTTTAAAAAAAAAAAAAAAGCCCACCAAATAAATCAAAATGTGTTGAGGGTAGAATCTGGGCCTTTTTCCTTCTTTTTTAAGGTGTGACAGGTAATTCTAATGTGCTGCCCAAGAAAGAACCTTTGAGTTTGAACTAAGGCAGTGGAGCACAACCCTGACAATCCATTAGCGTCACCCATATAACTTTGACACTTATGCCTGGGTTCCACCCCTAGAAACTCTTATTTAATTATTTTGTTTATAGTTCTCACAGAAGTAGGACCAGATACTTTGACTGGAGAATAGCTAAGTGGTACATGTAAGAAACCTGAACTCTTGGCAACAGAAATCTTAGGGAAAGCAACTCATTTATTTATTTATTACTTTTTTAAAACATTCAGATGTTACTAAAGCAACTCGCTTTTCCACTGTCCAAAACAAAGAAAGAAGCACAAGTGTCAGGCCACAGGACTCTAGAAAAAGTAGTTATTTGAGGAAAATTCCCTCTGTCTATGACCCATAGGTTGGTCATATGACTAATTAAAGTATGCTCCTGGGCAGTTGTTATGGAATATGATAGTTGGTAGCATAAAAAGTTTCATAGAGTAAACATATTGGTCTTTATGTTGGCATTCAGTTGCTCTGTATGCTCATATGTCTTCTACACCTTGAACCCTGGACCTGCAGTTCAGCTGCTGGGAACTTGTTAGAAATGCAAATTCTAGGGCCCACCTCAAATGTACTGGCTCAGAAACTCTAGGAATGGGGCCAAGCAATCTAACAGGCCCACCAGGTGATTCTGATATACTTTAAAGGTGCAGTAACACTGCTTTAGACCTTAGTGGAAGAGAATTGGGGAACACTCAGAGGCAAGCCACTGCTGTGACCAGCACGGCCTCTTACACACACCCTTACATCTAACCCTGCTTGGCACATAAGGAAAACTATCCTATGTATTCCATTTTCATTCATTTCAAATCATAGAAATGACTTGGATCAGAGTCATCAGTTTTTGTTACTTGACAAACACCTTAATTATAAATTTCTTTGTCATCAACATATTTATAAATTGACTCTTAATTCCAGCATTTAGATCACCTATTATGTAGGGTTTTTTGTTTTCTAAATCAGAAATTAATTTGAACAGGTAGTTTGTTTTAAATCTTTAATTATAGTTGTTTTATACTGCTTTTGTTATTAAAATCCTAAGTCTTAGAGTTAAAACAAATGTATATTTTTATAGGAATTAAAATTGTGGATGGCAGATATGTATGACTAATTAGTATTAGAAAAGTCATCTAATTTTGAGTTAGTAACAGGAACTATATTATATAACATAGTTAATCAG